CCACTCAGGGTCTGAGGAAGGCGTTCTCAGAGTGTCTGGAGTGTAACAGAAGACTGGTATTGAGTGCTTGGCTCTTTCTTCTCCACAAGTATTCCTTTCTCTGCTTCTGGGCTTTCAGGAGCTGTGCTGCTTTCCTCATCCATATCCTTCCACCATGGCATTTCTGCATTGGACTAAAACCTCTGAAATCATACACAAAAATAAACCTTTCCCCCTCTAAATGTTGTACATTGGCTATTTGGACACAGACAGCTAGTATAGTCAGATTAATACAAATTTGCTTGCTCACAGCATTTTAATGGTTTTTCATAGCAATTACAACAATTAAACTATCTTATTATGGCCCTACATGGTCTTGGCTATCTACTTTCATTTCTCAGTTTTGAGTTACTTTTCAAGCACAGAGCCCAGCATGACTGTAGAACTCTGAGGTATGGAGGAGTTTGGCCTATGTAAGAATAAAAAGAAGCCTGGGGTGGCTGCATCTGGTAAAATTCCCTGCTTCATATGGTATACTTTGGCCTTTTACTTAATTTTTCCCCCTCATGAGTTTTATTCCTGTTTTAGGACCTTGTACTTTGATGGGGGAAACACCTACTTTGCCAGTTTTCATATGGCAACATTTTTCCTCACCTCAACTCTTAGTTATCTTTAGGAAACCCTTTTGACTGCCCTCTTTGAAAAATGTATCTCTACTCCTAACGTTTAATTTATTTTTATTTTCTATATAGTATTTAGCATCAGTAGTGATCTTCCTTGATCTACTTGTCTATTTTTGATCTCCTTGCCTGACTCTCACCATTGCTAGCAATGTAAACTCAGGAGAGTAAGGCCATTGTCTGTTTTGTTCGCTGTATCTTTAGTACTAAGGACAGTTTGGTAAGACGTATGTACTCAATAAGATTAAATTTATAATTGAATGATTGAAAAAAATGCGAAATGCCTATTCAGGAAAATAGAAATTTGCTTTACTGGGTTAGAATAGCCAAGAAAAAAGAAGGATTCTTAATCTGTAAGCAGGTATGTAAAGTTCATGGAAAAAGATGAATGATTCAGTAAAATGCATGAAGTCATTTTTACAAATGTGTTTCACACAAGTAGTCTCTTCCTTTGAATAATATACTTCTTTATGTGTGTAATTTTGAGGGAATATTATAGAATTTTGTTAACATTTTAACAGCACTGCAAAATTCAAAGTAGTATTTGCTAAAAAAGAAAACTTACACCTGAAGAAAATGTAAGAATTTCTCTTCATAGTCTTAACTTACCCATTTTACAGATGCCTTTCAATTTCACTCATTTATTTTTTTTTGCTCATTTAATTTTTAGTTCAAATGGAAAAAGAGAAAAATAAGGGAAAAAGCTTGAAAAAATTGATGTTTGAAAAGCAAATTATATTTTTCTAAGAAATTGAAAATTGTATTTGATTTCAGATAATGCTTTGTAACCATTATTTTACATGTATTATAGATAAAAATTGAGTGTAATTATAGATATAAAAGTTATAATAATTTCTTTATGAATAGGCCTACAGTTAGGGTTGGACTTGCCAATGCTAATTGATTTATTTAATTTATAATTTTGTTGAATTTTTTATGTGTAAGGTGCTTGTATAGAAACATCACATATGCAAGTGACAAATAAAAAATTCTTATTCTTACATTCTAACTGGAGTATTGTGTTTGTCTTTTGCTTCTGACTTGGTCTGTAGCATTAAACTTCTCCACTGGTAAAGTGTAACTTAATGGATTGATAGATAAAATATTTATTACTTTCAAAATAATTGAATTACTTTTCGTCCAGTTATATGCATAGTGTTTTTATTTTAGTTACTCCTTGTGCTGATATAGTATCAATTTTGTTTCGTTTTTTATGAGACAAAGTCTTGCTGTACAGTTCTGGCTGGCCATGGACTCAAAATATAGCCCAGGCTGGCCTCCAACTTGGGGCAGTCTTCCTTCCTCAGCCTCTTGAGTACTGTGATGCACTCCTGCACTTGGCTGTGCCAATGTTTTGGAGACTGTCTGGGTCTGAAGTACACATGTGCCTGGCAAATCGACCAAAGACTGAATTTGGTGAGGCTGAAGTAATTTCTGCACAGTTGGGCTGTTTCAAGGGAAAATAAAAATGAAGGGATTTGTTAAGTGTAGCTGGCAGTAGTCCACTCTGACACTGCTTCTCTGAGTGTCTTGTGCCATCGTGACTGCCTTGATGTTCTGATTTGATTCTAAACATTCACCTCTCATGGGCATTTTGCCTTTGGGGATGAGTCAGAAGTACTGTAGTGTCAAATCCAGTGAACAAGGTGGATGGGCACACATCATGATGAGTTCATAAAAGTGGGGTGGCGTTTAGAATCTTCATTCCTCTTATTTTTGAGTGTGCTTCATGAAGACACTTATGAAGAGGACTTCCAGAACTGCTTCAGAAAGTATCAAGAACGATGGGATAAATGTGTGTTTTGAGGGGGATTAATTGCAGTGTGTGTTTTTGTAATATT